AAAATAAGAAGTGCAATAATTGATTTACTTCTAAAAAAAAACAAGTATAAAAAAATTATGACTCTTATCAAACAAATAGTGACATAAATTACTCCAAATTTCTACAAATAATAATACATTCTTATATTAGATAAAGATAAAAAGTAGGTGACTAAAAGATAGATATAGAAATCAAAATAGAATGACTATTATATAAAAGAAATAACCAAATATAAAAGAACTCATAAGTCTTGATTCAAGATAAAATATAAAAAATATAATAAAAATAGTGAGAATATCTTATTTTTGCTTCCATATATACTATCTATTAAAAAATCAAGTGACAATGTATTATAGATTGAATGATACTTATTCAATTTGTCAAATAAGTATCTAATTTGTAAAGCAAGTTTCTAAGGTGCCAATCTAAGAATTACTTATAACGATATGTAAAGTCTAGAGAAAAAATAATAAAATGATCTATTTTTACTTATTTCTACTTATTTCTACTTATCTAAATAAATATATTAATAAATATGGCTATTTTTTTACATCTAGGATCAATCAAGACTTATCTTAGATATATTTTATATAAGATATCAATTCAATTATGTACTAAAAAAGAGAATAATTTTAGGATTTGTTGTTCAAAAAATTAAGTTTTTAAAATAAATTATAAAATATTATATATATATATATATATATATATATATATATATATATATATATATATTTTAATAAAGAATAATTGGTTTTACATTTTATAATTGAAAGTGAAGATTTCAAAAAAGCTATGATTTAAAGAATTAAAAATTATTTTTCCAAAGATCTTAAAATTTAATATAATCAAGGCTTATGTTTAATATATTAAATAAAAATTAAACATTTAAAAATAAAAAACATATAATAAGTATTTAACTAAGATTCTTTATATTTAAAATAATATATTTTATATCTAATTTTATATTATAATTTTTATTTTTAATTATTTTTAATTTATTTATATAAAATAGATAGTAAAATACAACTTTTTCTTCCTTAAAATTAAAATCTAATCTCATATTATTTTTTTTTATTTTAATATAAATTAAAATATAAATAAATTTTATTTTACTAATCAAAAATTTAGTCTAGCTCTAAGTTATATAAGTATTAAAACATTTAGAATAAAGAAATATTTATACAATATTTTAAAAAATCAAAATCATATTATTTAGTTAAATTATTGATTTTAAATAAATAATAAATCCATGAAATTATCATAATAGTTTTCTAAATCCATATATATATATATATATATATATATATATAATACAATGCCTTTATATGCCTCATTCAAAAATATTATTAAAATCTTTAAGTTTGTATAAAGTACATGCTTTATTTTTATGTTTTTGTAAATGTCTATGTGTATATTTTACTATGTTTTTTTTTTTTTTACTAGGAATCATATTTTCTTTATTCATCATCATAATATAATTGTAAAATCTGTTTTAGTATAAAGTTAATCCACTTATTTTTTTTATATAATATAACTTTTTTATAATGATTTCAGAATAATGGTGTTAATTTTGCAATATCATGCAGCTTTAGCTAAAGATGTATAAATATGCAAAAAAAAAATCTTTGTGTACTTTTTAGTTTTAAAATAGTATTTAGTATGAAATTTTATTTTATACTTAATAATCTATAATAGCCTAATTTTAATTAAAATATAACCAAAATATTTTTAACATTAATAAATAAATATTTCTTTGCAAATATTATAAAATACATTATTTTGTAATTTGACATGTATTATAAGTCTTTGTGATTTTTCCCATAATATCCTAGAATAAATTTTATCTACTTATAAAAGTATTTTAATTAAATAAGTAGATAAAAGTCACTCAATTTTTTTATTTCTATTTATTCTTTTTATTTTATATTATTTTAAATAATGATTATTTCTTGAATTTATAATATTTTTTTTACTATGAAGTATTTGGAAAAGTATGGGCAAAGTCAAAATTCATTGCAAACCATCTACTTGTTGTTTATTCTAATTTAAAAAATGTAAAATTATAATTCTATCAAATTTTTTTAAAATATTATATAAAAAACAAATAAAAACTTAAACATGTAGAGTCCAAGTTATGCAATCTTACAACATTATCAATAACACAATGCAACCTATTCAAATACAACATGAATTTAGAGATAGTAAGCATAGTAGATATATAAAATTTATGCAATTATGTAAATAGAGAATCAAAGAATAACACAAAAATTAATATATTTTTAAAGATTCTAATAAAAATTTAATTGCAGTTAGAAGATAATCATAAATAAATAAATCAATAAATAAAAGACTTAAATACTATAATATTTTCTTAAAATAATGTCAACTATGATAGCAAAAAAATAAAAAAATTTTACTATGATTATATGCTTATAATAGAAAAAATAAAAAACACACAATTTAAATCAATGTTAGCTAAAATTAATGTTATAATTTTTTTAAAGACATATGGAATAATACCATGTCATTTTAATTAAACTGGCTACACTATAAATTTATTAATGATCTAAAGACCTGTTTTGATATAGTATTTTTTTATGTTTTTATAAAACACAAATTTATTTAATTATAGTATGGTGTTTTTATTTTTTTATTTTTTTTCAATTTGAGATTTATTTATTTATTTATTTTTATCACAATTGATAACATTAGAAGATTATAATTTTACATATATTACATTTGATGATTAAATTGTAGAAATTTTGGATCTTAAAAATTGGTTATGTAAAAATTGTAATTAGAACCTCTAATGTGCAATAAATAAGTTTTATTTCTTTTGATTTCATTAGTAATAATACTACATAAAATTTTAAAAAATAATTTGATCTTTTTGGAGTTATTATGTTGTAAATTCTAACCATAGTTTTTTTTTTTTTTTTTTTTTTTTTTTTATTTACAGCTAAGTATCATTATTTTTAAATTTCTTATATCTTTGAATATGCATTTTTTCAATATATATATTCATATGACAAATTAAGCAGTTTATTCTTATAATATAACATGATCTCTTGTATTTTTAATGATGAATTAAAACTAGTTGTATTGATTTTTTCATTTTTTATTTTATAATTTTAAATTTAATGTATTCTACAGCTATAAATATTATATTGTTAGATAAATTCAGTACCATGTTTAAAGTAATTTAAATAGGTAGTGATTTTTATTCATAACAAAACTACTAGTTTAATCTAATCTTCAAAAATGGCAAAAAATGAAACTTCTGTTCAGAGTTGACTTCTCTTAAAATTGAAACTCCACTTGAAGCAAAGTCGAAGTCCCCCCTTTTCTAATTTCTAATTCTTTTTCATTGTTGTTATTTTTACATTCAACCACAGTACGGACTATTTAAAAAAGTCGGTGTTGCAAACTTGGGTAGGATTTGAACTGGAGTAAGACGTGGTTATTAATGCTAACAAGCTACAGTGCATTGGTTACCAAAGTGATCAAAGCATGGAAGGTTGAAGAGCAGACGGTAGAGTTGCAGTCTCAACGTTATTGCAAAAACCCAGTTCATCATGATACTCTAAATCCCTCACATCCACATGCTATACTTGAACACTACATATATTCTCAGGCAAGCTGGTTCTGGCCAAGTGCTTTGCTTCCAATGCTGTGCATCAAACAAAAAGCACAGGCAGGGGGTGCAGTTGTGTGAAGGACTATGCATCGGGGAACCGAAAGGGCTGCAAACAAAACTGGGGCCTCACTCGCATGCAGAGAGAGTGTTGGTGGAGTGCGAAGTAAAGTGCGAGGGAGGAGACAGAGCTGCTGAGAAGAGGATGCGGGAGGAGTGCGAGACTTTCATCAGTGGAAGCGAAATGACGTGGAATAGTAATGTGTGTACGTGTGTGTGCTCTCGCGGAAGAGAGAGATAGAACAAGTAGGAATATGTATATATGTGTATATAAATAAATAAATGTATAAAAAGATTAAAAATTAACGAACGATTGTACAGTGATGGAGCTGTTGCGAAGCAACTGGGGGGGGGGTGAATGGGATCGGCGTGGGGATGGCAGTGGTACGGGTGAATGCCCTGCGAATGAAGCCTGAATGTGTAGGGAAGGGAAAGGAAGGGATGGGAAGAAAGGAATGCGGAGAGGAGAGGAGGGGGGAAAGGGGGAAGGGAAGAGGATGACTGAAAGCCTGAGGTTTTGGCGGAAGTCCATCCGAGGCTTGGGGCTTAGGGGGGCTTGGGGCCGGGCTGGCTGGCTGGGGGGCTGGGGGCTGTAACCGGGGGCTGGCTCGGGAGGTTGGGGGGTGGAGGTCGGGGGCACCTTGTTCGTCTGCGTTTCCCTTTTGCTTTCCCTTCTTCGCTTGTCTCCGTTCACTTGCGCGTCCTCATGACCCTAGTCGTCGTATCGGAGTGGTGGCTACAACGCCGGTCTGCCTCCATTTTATTATTCTCCCTACTCTTGTATCATTCTTACCCACTTTTGTCTCTACATCCCTTCCACTTCCTTCCCCTATCGTCGTCGTTGTCCTCGTCGTTCTTCTTGGATTTGTCCCCATCCTGCAGCCCTCACCTATCGACATAATTTTGTTTTCGTCGTTATTGCACTTGGTGTTGGTTTGGTGGCACCCATTCTTCTTCTTCATCGACTCTTCTCTTCGTGCCACATTCCCTTTCCTACCTGTGTTCCGCTTTGTTGCCTCATTCTCGTCTCTTCGTCTCAGCTCTTCTCGTGCAGGTGCAGCAACCGAATTCCCCGATTGGATGTTTGCGCTTGTAGGGTTTGTGGACCCACAGAGACAGGAAGTTGGCCCTGTCTGTCCGCCTTTTTCATTCCTCTCTTTCCCCATTCTCTTGTATCGCAGGGCGGGCTTGTCGTCGCCATTTTATTTTATTTTTATTCGTTTTCTTCCTCGTGGGTTTCTCTCATTCCCATTTCTCGCCACGTAGAATCGGCAGCTTCAAGAAAGGCCTTTGCTTGAGGGCTCAAAACTTAGTGCTGCTGTCCAGTTTCTTCGCTATTGCGGTCATGCCCGCACTACCGTTAAAACCCTAGGTGCTCACAGTCGCCAGGGGTCGGAGGGAGGAGAGGCGGTGGTGTAAATTGCGTGGGGCAGCAGTAACTTGGACGGGGACCATGGAGGACGAGGATGCGGAGCTCGAGGAGGGAGAAGCCAAGGAGGCCCTCGATCCCGACACCGATTTCTCTTACCTCGTAAACGCCTCCTGCTTGATTTTGCATTTCCTCCTTTGATTCAATTCGGCCTATCGTATTGCAATTTACTTTCCTTTGCTCACACATTCCTGTGTACGTGGAGATAGCTGAATTCCAAGTCCTGTTGAGTGCGGATGTCTACCCTAGGCCCTTTTGTCCTCAGAGCTTGGCGGAATCCATTTCTGTGGGAATGAAGTCAATTACTGGCATCCATGTGAGCTAGGTTTTCTCTGCATTGTTATGATAATTGTCGATCCTTCCTGCATGGAGTCGGTCTATACTGGCTTTCTCTTATCGTCAATGTCGCAGCCGAATGTTCGGAAAGCTCACTCTTTGCTGACGGGGCCGATGTAGTCTTTTACCCTATTCGGCTCTTGTTGCAAATGTTATATATAGGGCGCCATTATAGTGGCTATGAAGTGATAGGTCACATGGCAAGGGTATATTGTTGGACTTCATGTCATAGCGAGGATTGTGAGGGCCATCGACATTTCGAAGCTTTACAACTGAAGTCGGGAAACACGGAAATGATTTTGAGTAACTTCTTGCCTGGCTTCGGAGGAAGGTTATTATATTAGGAAGATTTATTGCGGCATCTGTTTGAGGTTTGAAAGTCAATTGCAAGTACAAAGGGAGCTTTACCTACACGATCCGAAGGATTGCACTTGCGGCCTTGTAATGAACACTCTAGGGCGAGCGAAATATGAAGTCCCGTCTACCTTGCGAAACGATCTAAAATTCTAGGGTTGATGGCTTCACGTTGATGGTTAAATCATGCATTGACTGTGTAGGGGTCTCCATGTGAAAAAGTTCGATTGGTATTCTGGCAAGAGCTTCGATTGATGATATGTTGTTGGTGGCAGGATACGAGGTTGGAAATGCTACTCGGTGACTGCCAAAAGGAGTTTCAAGGGGGGAACCTTTCTACAGAGAAACTGGGTATGATTTCTCTTTTCTGCGGGTGCAGATCGAATCGATTCTTAGGTGGCTCCTTTCTTTCGCGTTTGTAAGGCAGTACCTACACGCGAGCGTGTGTGAATTCGCCTCACTTATGGTACATGCACGCTGAAGTCAAGTTTGGATGATCTCAGGTTCCAAGTACGGAGGATATGGCACATTTCTGCCAACCCATGCTCGAGTCCCATCTATGCTGGCCGATCCCCATCCTGCACATCCAGCACCACCTGCTGCTGAGGTTGCACGGCCTGCGGGAGAAGGATGGAGCGTTTCAGCAGAGGTGATGGAGCTCCTTATTTTCTGATATATCTGTTCACTTCTCTCTCTGCCTTCGTTTATCTATGTTTTTTTTGAAAATCCCTGCGCGCATTCTAAACACAGTGCGGTATGTGGAGTGGCAGCCTGCGAGGCGCTCTGCGGGACCTTCATTGCAACAAGCTAGCGCCAAAGAGAATGGTGTTGTCAATGCCTTGGCTGCCAGCAATAAGGTGAAATTAAAAATAAAACTAGGTAAGCAAGCTGCGGACACAGAGGAAGCGAAACGAAAGGCAATCTACAACGGACTTGGCTTGGACGACTTTTCAGACGATGAACCGTCTTTGGACGATGATGACGACAATTATTCCCGTTCAAACGTGGAATCCCCTGAACCCAGCCCCATGGCCATGATTGAGGTACGTCTGTCATGTTCCCTCTGTAGCAATAAGATGGGTTCTGGATTTGGACAAACGCATCATGCATGATCTGTGTTGCATCCTGATGGATTCATCGCCATGGCTATTGGGACAGATGATGACAGCGCCCTGTCCGGAAGGAGGCTTGCTTTCCCCATTGTCGGATAGCACAGTCGAGATTATGGACGTGAAAGAGTCCAACTTCTACATGCATAAATCTGGGAACTTGCCTTCTGCTGCTACGAATGCCTATTCCTCTGCCAATAAGGTTGATCTCGAATCTCCTCGTGGGCCTGGTTCAGACTACAGGAAAAGCAAAGGGTCTGATGCTGTCAAGCATTCTACAGATGGTAAAAAGGGTGTTGACCTTGTCGCTGAATCTAATGGTGTGAGAAAAGCGAAAAGGGAATCTGATACAGAGAAGACTATTGTGAAAGAACGGCTGTTAAAAGCTGGCAAGAATGAGTATGTCAAACCTGAGCAGCTTGATTCTTTTGATGAGAAAGGAATGGAAGGATTTGGACAGGAGGAATATGACTTAGTTAAAGACTCTACGTTGAAGAGCTCTCGGAAGCAACCTGAAAACAATAAACCTCCGACCGCAAACGGTCAAAAGGACAAGGGAGCCACAGATGGTAAAGGATCTGGGAAACCACAGGCCTCAAAAAACAGGGACAGTAAAGAAATCCCTCGATCTAAAACCACTGGGAAAGGTCCTGCATTGAAAGATTTCGAGGCCGTCAGAACGATTGATAATGAGAAGGAGGGCAATGATAAGGTTACAAGCCTGACTGAGCCCAGGAAGCTATGGAAAGACGATACCAAACACACAGCTCCTGCAAGAACCAAAGAGAACCCCAAGGAAGGGCTTAAAGATAATTCAAGGAGGGATGCTGCCGGAGAGTTTAAAGGTAAAGATGCGATAAGGGATGGTTCTAAGCCTGGAAGTGCCACCAAGAAAACAAATATCAGTGTTACGGGTCGGAAAGTTGTCCCAAATGAGCAGAAGAGTTCAAAAATTTCTCAGGACAAGAAATTACCTGTGAAAGACAATGAGAGAGAACGGGTGAGCCTGTCAGAACCTGTGCTTAGTAAGGAAGAAGAAAAACCTCCAGCACCTTTAGAGGCTGCTCCACCTTCTTTCGTGCTCCCCCAGCTTGTTTTAGACCACTGGGTCGCCTGTGACAAGTGTGAGCAATGGCGATTGTTGATGCCGCATGTAGACCCAAATTCCCTACCCAAAAGATGGCGCTGCAGGATGATGGATTGGCTGTAAGTGTCTGATATGGCTAACTTCTAGTATTATGATTGACTGCGTATTTTTGGGTTGACTGAGTTCTGCTTGTTGAATTCTGCTTCTGTACGTGTTTCCACATCAATCTTGGATGCAGAATCGTGAATCGACTGACATATTATTCACTCTTTGGGTTATGTGTAACGTCTCTGTTATTTCCTGTTAGCTGTGTCATGTCTCATTTTCTACATATATATTGTTCTTAAATTTTTTACCAGCTGACACAGCATGGATGGGAACAGGCCAAATATGAACAACTGCAAGTGGTCGGAGGCAGAGACCACCGCGGCAGTATATACCCTACTGGGATATCAGAACCCTGCACTTCCTGGTGCTGGCCTTCCAGCCGCGGCAGCTGCCCCTACCGCGGTGCAGGCTCCGGTTCCAGCAGCAGATCCTGTGGTGGACAAATGGGCAGATGAAGTGGATACCAAGAAGAATTTCCTACCTAAGAAAGGTGTAGCACGAAAACTGGGAAGCTCTGCTCCTAAGGTCGGTGGGGACAAAGGGATTGATGGAACAACGAAAAGCAAGAACATTAATGACGTGGGTTTGGATAATTTGGGTGATGGCATAGGAGGGAGCGACAAGCATAAGCACAAGCCTAAGGACAAAGTCAAGCGCACGCGTCCCAGTGAAGGTAAGTCTCCGAAGTCGCTGTTTATGTTTGGGCCGCAACATTTGTCTCAGTCCTGACACGAACAACTGCTGCTTAAAATTGTAATTTTACTGTCGGCGGCTTCAGTTTGATATGGAACCAATCATGATTTCCTTTGAGCTGGCTTAAAGTTTGTAATCCGTGACTCTTTTGTCTACAATCTCTCATACTTTATAGACGAATAATGGAGAAGTGTATTCTGGTATAGGTGAAGATACACGTAGCAAGAAAAAAGTGTTGCAGGAGCAAGAACGTAACATTGAAGCATCGCAATGGAGCAAGGAGGACATGGATCTAGAGCCACTGCCTTGTGATAGAGAGAGAGTTGGATTTCTGCATCCTGGAGAAACACAGGGTGGTGGTCCAGGCAAGAGGAAGAAGACGGTGGGGGCTGCCGAGGATCTGGATGAAATTTCAAATTTAAAAAGGAGCAAACCTGTTAAGCCGAAGGTACAATACGATGACCTGCAGGTTCCAAGTGAGGATGATTACGTGGAAACAGATAAGCGTGGGAATGTACAGAAATCGAAAAGGGATATGTCAATGCAGAAGCCTAAAGATAACTCCAACACTACCTTACAAGATAAAGAGACACAGGATATTAATTCTGTTTTAAAAGACCTGAGGAATCGTGATGGAGTTGAGAAACGTGAAGATGATAGGGATCAAGGCAAAAGGTCTAAGGGTTTAGAGAAGCAGAGGAGATCGAAGGAAGATGTTAGTGACTCAGAGCAAAGAACGTGGAAGAAGCGCCGGGACGATGCATTATATGAGAGACCCTCTCAAGCGAGTCCACAGGGGAAGTCAACGTACGGGAGAGAAGATTTGAATCGTTCAACGTCGTCTAAGGTTTCAAATTCATCTTCAGGATCATCCGGTCCAGGGTTGAAAGGCGTGGGCTCTCCTCTGGAGTCTACCGTCTCATCGTCACCTGTGAGAGTAGCAAACGGAAATAGAGAGTTCAGCAATAGAGTAGCTCCAGGCCACACCGCTTTGGGTGCTGACATTGCTATGCAGTCGTCACCAGGCCCTAAGCATGTTCGGGCTGCTTCTCGTGGATCTTCTTTCGATGAAGGAGAATACCGTCAGCCTGGGGCTACACACAATACCACAAGATTCGGGAAACAAGACTCCAGTGGTGAGGCGCGTGATGATGGTTGGTACGACGAGGAGGACAGGGGTGTGGATCGGGCACACAGTCATAATTATCATCCAGAGCGGCATCCACATAGTTCGGGAGACATTGATGACGATGGCCACCAGCGAAGACGGAAAGGCAACCGTGAGCATGATAGTGATTCCAGGAGGCTTGATATTAGGGATTACGATCATGTTGACCACAGTGATCACTATGTTAAGGAGAGGAACAATCCAAGAGATGATAAATGTCGTCCTCCACGAGAAAGTGTTCCGGAGAAACCTGTGCAGGGGCACGGTGTTAGGGTTGCCCCTGTAAGCAAAGATTCCAATCGAGAGGGGGATAGAATTGTTTCAAATTTGCGTAAAGACGGTGGTGGAACTGCGGCAGGACCTACGGACCTTAGTAAGAGGCCTGGGGCTTCTTCAAATACTCGGGGTGGGGGTGATAGAGGGGATGGATTGAAACGGGAAGATATGGAAATTGGTTTAACAAAAGCCTCAGCTGGAGAGGTAGCAACTGACAGCCCTGCAAAGAAGGAACATGCCCACGCTCTTCAATCAAAGACTTTAATGAAGGCTGCGAAGGATCTGAAGCACTCTGCAGATCGGATGAAGGTGCGCTTGTTGTTGTCTCCGCAAATTTTTGTGTCAAACTGGAGTATACGTCAACGCAGACACCTGCCAAGTTTCGATGTTTGCTCTTTCGCATCAACGCTCACGTTCCGTTTTTAATTGTTTATATTTAGATAGTCATGAAGCCAATTATTAATTTCTGGACCACAGTAGAAAGTTTAAGGAATAAAATTATTTATCTACATATTTATTTCTCCTGGTTCTAACGTGTGTTTTTGTGAAAACCAGAATACTGATGAGACAGGAAGCACCAACTTATATTTAATGTCAGCCCTGAAGTTCTTACAATCAGCAGCGCTATTGGAACCATTACAATCAGAAAGTAGCACTTCAAAGTCAATGGAACTCTATAAAGACACAGCTGGCCTTTGCGAGTATGCTACACAGTCTTATGCTGTATATACCTGATGTTGTCATTTCTTGTTGAGTATCATGACTTGATCTAATAGTTTATCTTTGTCTTTTTAAAATTTATTCCTCTAGTCTCGATTAAAATTCCCAGTCGATTGCGGTGCTGTCGTTGCCTAGTATAACACATCCTTGATGAAGAACCCTCTCTATGTGTTTATGTGACAGGTTTTGTGCTTGTCAGTATAAACGACGGGGTGATCTAAGAGCTACAGCTCTAGCTTACACATGTGCAGCTGTGGCTCGCACAAGGCTTATGATGTCTAAAAAAACATCCTTTGCAAATGACTGCAAAGAAGTTCAGTCGGCTGTAGAATCAAAGTCTGCTCCGCACGTGCCCTCGAATGGTGAGTTTTCTGTACATCTAGTTCTCTCATGAAACCACTATCACTTGTTACTGAAGTTTATCCAGTTGAGTAAAAATCTTAGCTTGACGATTGAATGAGATGTCGTTGGTAATGCAGGGGAGTCTCCGTCGTCTTCTTCAGCGTCAGATGTGGACAATCTCAATAAGCATCACGGTTTAATTCCTGGCAGCAAGGCCTCGTTAAGCAAGGCAGCAATAGTGTCTCCTCAAGTGTTCTCAGGAGCTTCCGGCACTTCACTTAACATTCCTGCACGGTTGCGACCCGTGACGACTCGATTTCTGAAAGATGTATGTGTTAAGTTAGCTTTCTGTCTGGCTTCCCCATTGAACACCTTTCATTGTACCAATGATGCATGTTGCAGCTCTTGTAGCAAGGATTGACTGGTGAACTGCAATTGCTGGTTTGCAGGCCCAGGAGATGAGTTTGCTGCTGGAGACATGGCAGAAAGCAGCTGAGGCAACAACAAAGGCTGAGGCAAGTGAGGAGACGCAGGGCATGGCTGCTGTGAAGCAGGTGGGGGAGTTGGGTGGTCTGGGTGATATTGATGGAGTTGTACGATTAGTAAAAGTTGCACTGGATGCAATTGGCCACTAACTAGGCGAGGAACTTGAAATCCGAGAATTGAGTAGGGGAGTGCAGAGACATGTAAGTACTCTGCCCTTGTTTGTAAGTAAACAAATCCCCGTCTGAGCATATCTCCGTCTGAGTGAATTTCATTGTACCATTGTAATGTCACAAAACAGAGTTTAAATAGGTTAGGATACATTGCTTTCACCTGCCCCCTCTTTCAACCAAATGGCTGGAGAGCATCACAGGCTTTGAAATCGTACACACTTGGTCGTAGACTCTTCGATACAATTAGAGATTAGCTTGTAAAAGTTGAGAATCCTGAAATATTTTGTTGGCTCCTTTTTCCAACGTGTAAGAAGTCATTTGTCCAATAATACTACAAATATGCTATCAGTTGGTCATTCTTCCACAAAGCAGAGCCTGAAGAAATGCCATACGGATCAGTTTTTTATTGGAATGTTCCATTGTTGTGGTTTATATTTCTAATCCTTACAGTGCAGCTCTAACTGTGAATGAGACCTAAGATATTTTACTGCGTTAAGTCGGCAGCATGGCATGATGTTTAGATTTCTTGCTTAATTGTCAAATAATAGTATAAGATTCGATCATGTGTTTTATCAAAGAACACTGGAAAACAAAACAAGGGAACTCCATTGGATGGCGTTGTAACGAAGGGTGTGTTTTGTATTTAAGTCTAGTGGCCGTGGGAACAGTACCAGTTTTCTCTACATAATAGCTTAATTATTTAGTGTATCAGGGATAATAAGGACAGAAGGTCCCATGCACGAAAATAGGGGCATAGGAGCAAGTGGAATTAGTAACAGCTTTAGTCCTTTTTTTTATATCCCCCATGTTTACTGGAACCTTGGGCTTAACCACTATGTATTCATTTGAATCCAATTGACTAATCTGATTAGTTACTCATTATGTTGCACAAAAGTATTTTCTGACAATCTTGTTTGCAAATGTGGTTTTTCACCAAAATATGTCATGCAGATTTTGCAAATATGTCTGGGCCTTGGATATTTGGTTGGAAAGCTATTATGATGTGTTTGAATTTGTGAAATTGGTGTGGATTAGTGTGGACTGATTGTAGTTTGGACAACCAAACAAACATGTTTTGTATTGTGTCTTGTTTGCATGAAAACATTGGAATCAAGTTTCACCCTCACTTCAAGGTATATGAGCATGTAGACATTGACATAAACATTGAAAATGTTTTCTTTTGACTAAAGAACAAACAAGATTGTCAGAAAATACTTGGAGGTGAATCATTCAGACTCTTTTTAGATCAAAGTTCTAGATACCGTGAATATTTTATCATGTTCGATGGACCACCACGTGATCCTCACGTCATGGCTTCTAGTACAATTCTTGGTATAGCTGACGTCATTAACAACAAAGTGATCGAATTGTCTGTGAGAAGGAGGGTCGCGGAACACCTCGTACCGTGGACTTGATGTCTTCCTCGTCCGATAAACCGCCCAAGAAATGGCCCTGTTCCATTCTGTGACTTCCTTCTGAATCTCTGCTGAAGGTAACTTCCAAAATATGCTGCTTCTTTTTCTCACAGGAATTTTTGTTTTGTTCCTTCGCTGGTGTGCTCTGGCATGGTCTCATAAATGCTTGCAATGTTTCTCAAATTATGGTGGTAGGTTGGGTACAGATGGTTTTCAATCGCAGAAACCATTGTTGGTGAAAACTTCCACCGTGCAAGGTGTGCGCATGTTTCTCTCCCCTGGTCTCTGGTGAATGGCCAGTAGACAGCTCCCTGCAAGCAATCCGATAACAGTTTGTAGTTGACAGTTAAGGTCATTATGCAGAGGTGAGAACTTAGGAAGGGTGTGCCGTCTTCTCGTTTGATGAACCGCATACTATTTTATATCTCAATGTAAACTGCTTGATTTGTAGCAATTCTGCTGTTGGATATCTGATCCAATGGTGGGTCATATGTTTCGATAGTACGAAGGTAGTCATTAATACTGCGTATCTGTGAACTACAGCAGTGGCCACTGGATGAGTACTATCTGCAGTGGAGAACAATTTGCCTAAATTATTTACTTGTTTTGTCTTGGCTTCCTCCCTTCAGCTGCACCCTCAAATCGCAAGTGTGTTCTGGTTCTGGGTTTGATGAAATGGATGGCCCATCCAGAGAGTTGTACCATTTTTGGTCATATAAGTCCGTACAATTCTCTCTGTTCTCACCAGCGGTAAGATGCATGGAACATGCGAACTTCGCACTAAAACTGCCATGGATTCTATGAAGTGCTTCCAGTCCGCATCACCCATGTCAGCTTGTAAGATGCAGCTTCCTTGAACGGAAGAAGTGAGCAGACGGTGCGATCTGGTGTGTTTCCAACTGAAGCGCTGCAGCATTCAGCAGTGGTGACGTGCCACTCACTGCTGGGTGTGATGTACACTTTGGAACTTTACAATTTGAAGTGGACAGTTGTGGGGGCAGTTCTGGGCCATTTTCTAGATCTAGACAAGTGTGGGAACGGTAGGTGTGTAGTCGTCTCGGATGACCACACATTGTCTCATTCCTGAATGTAGACGGCTGGCTTTACGGGTAAGCTGTGTCCCATTCTGAAATACAACAGTAAGGATTCCGTCTACAGGTGGGTTCAGTAGGCTGAAAATAGTGAAGTTGTGAGGAACGCCACCGACTTGACACTCAGCTGAGCACACTCTAAACATGGTACTGCACTAGTGGACAAAGCCATACTCCATCTGAAAAACAGTTCGAGAATCATCCACTCCAATAATTTCTGCACAACTGTGGTCTCAGGGCTGAAAAAAGAAGAAAAGGAATAGGTTACAAGTATGCACAAAGAACAGATGTGCACCTTCCCTAACGACTAGTACAAGTGCCTTCTCGATGCATTCTGCGACAATATCAAGCTTCTAGATTGAAGCTGTTGAGTAACGTTTAGACGCCTCTGGAAAACCTTAAGAGTATAACCCGCCACCATCTCCTCAGCGGATTCATCCATCATCACCAATAAATCTCAAATCTTCAAAAATGCTCTGTGATCCCAATGCCACTACCCACATCATGTATGACAGGAACTCTTTGAACAGTGAAGGTCTGCTGGAAAAGAGCGTTAGAGGCGAGGGTGAGCATCAGGCGGTTCGGATTTTGCGTCCTTCTCGCACTCCTGAGGCTTGCCATCGACAGCGCTTGCCACGCCGGTGGACTTGTCGTCGCCATCGACCAAGTACGACATCGGGAGTGCGAAGAACTGGGACTCTGTGTGACCAGGGAGTTGGACCAGGACGGCGTCGTCGTATCTCCGAGGAGTCGACAGGAGCGGTGGCTGCCTGCGCCGGGTGAGCAGATGCTGCGGTTGGAGTACTCCCGGCGGCGGCCTCCTGCTCTCGGCGCTGGCGGCGTTGTTTGACGACAGTCCAGCAGAGCAGAAACAGCACCACGGACACGAGGAACAGCATGCATGACATGCCGGCCAGCACCATGACGAGCATGTCCGGGCTGGTGCAGCTCACCACCTCCCCGGTCTTTACATCCCTGCACAGCACGCTAGGCCCCGGTGCCACCTCTTTCGCCGCTAGCACCTTCCTATCTGGACCTGAACATCGACACCATCGATCACATCCTCCTCATGAGATCCAGTCGCATGTCGCTACACTCATTCCACCACAACATAAGAACCTGGACGTAATCGTCCTGTCGACAGCTCCTCACAAAATGCTCAATCCTGGTCGCACACTTTCGTCTCCGTGACCCGTGTGACAGCACATGATGCACGCACCTGTGCTCGGGCAGCAATCCACTTATAGGTGATGGAGATTCTGTGGGTTGTGCCAAAACAAACCTTCTGGAGTGCAAGGCCATCCCATGCATTGGTCACATATTTGAAACACTGGTAATTCATTGTTGTGATTTGTCGTACGAGGCACAGTACAGCACTTGAACTTGGAAGGATCTGCTAGTGGAAATGTCCACAACGTCCACTCAAGCAGAAACATACACCTTAAACACACTAAGCATTACAGAAACTACTAAATTCTAGTTGCCTTGTGCATATCAGATTCGTACAGGCTAATCAGGATTTTGAAACAAGGCTCCAAGTTGGACGGGTGTGGGACCGCTTTCCATCTTGCTTCGCTCCCCGAGAAAGCTCAGTTTTACTTTACAACTCTGAAATTTGTGAATCTTAGTATTGAAATCAAGAATCCAAGTGTTGGTTTAGAAGCAAGCACTCTGCTTCTAAGAAGCTGGGTTTCACCTTCTAGCTGTAAAATTTGTGAATCTTGTTTGTGAAATTGACAGTCCAAGTGCTGAATTTGAACGAGTAATTATTGTGGTTGTTGTTCATGTTGTTGGAGTTGATACGTAAACAAACATGAGAATCCAGGTGCTGCATGTGAGACTGGTGCTAGTGATTTTCACTTTGTCACAATTTGCTGCTGGCTTTTCAACTGAGATATTTCTAATACTGCTGTATTCTAAGTTGCTGACGTTGTGGTTGTCGTTGCACTACTGTCCTCTGCCGTTACAACACTTTCAAATGTCTTCAAATGTAGAAGTCGTCTCAAACCATAATAATTGTTGAGTCATTAGCCTGATGATCTTGCAAGGATTTTGCTTGCTGACAAAACTACAGCTGTAAATTAGATTTTCCAGTTTCACATGCAGCAACATACATAAGATGCATCGATTCCAACATTTGTTCTTACTTTTGTACTAAAACATTCATTGTAATGTAACATTCTTTATGTCTACTAGTTTTGCCACTATTATTAAAGCTTAAAAAGTGTTATCCTAGAAAGAAGAGTAAAATAAGTGGAATTGCAATAACAATAGAATTTGAAAAGAGAATATTTTGCAATCTCTTATACATTATAATTTTTTAAAAAATAAACAAATATCATGTATTTTTTGTGAAGAAAAGTCAAATTTTGATATTGGGTATGTTAGTCTTATTATACTATTAAGTACATGAATTGAAAGAAAACTTTGAAATAAAATTTTATTTAAATAGCACTAAGAACAATAATATAATCAAAGAAGAGATAAAATATAAAAAGATTAAGGACTAAGATATTACTATTCTAATTTATGAAAAAAGTAAAATGTTATAATTTTATTGAATAATAACAAGTAAAATATTATAACCTATAAATTTATTTTTGTTGTTTTTATTTGTTAGCTTTCTCCACATATAAGTATATAAATCTTCATTGAAAACTTTTTAATGTATACTTCTTCTATAGAAATAGAATTAGTGCTATATATAAATATTGCTCATATTTGAAACTTTTGCTCAAAGAATGTTAAAAAGATTTCACAAATTTATAATGGTTATAAATTTACTATGATTTTTTTAAAGTGTTACATCTATAGTTTATTTTCTTTCCATCTAAGATTATTTAAACTTGAAATAAATATGATTAATAAGCATACAAATTATGTTAGTTAAATAATTCTAT